ACAATAGCTTAGGTAGCGTGTGTAGATAGTTAACAGAAGAAAATAAGAAAGAGAGAGAATAACTTGTCGATACAAACAAAGCTTTATCTTGTATAGGGGTACAATGGTAAACAGAGCACTACACACTCTTACTAAAGGACAAAAATAGGGTAGATAGCTAATTTGTTGATCTTCCTAATGTGTAGAGTGCAAATACTCTAAAAAAAGAAGAAGGAGAGTTACATGGTGGGGGAGAGTGAGACAAATGTAATTTATATTATTACATAAATATTTTGTGTATATTATTGATGGGATTAATATTTATAGTATTGAAATGTAATAGGTAAGTTGACAGTTTAAATTTGTCAAAAAAAAAAGTTGACAGTTTAAATTCAATTTATTGTGAACTTAAGTTAGGAAATGTATTATTGATTTTGGAAAAGATAAAAAGCATAGAATTAGGGATAACTATTAATTCATTAATTTTGAAAAAGACAAAAATTACTTAAATATAGGTTTCATTTAATTAGTTAATGGCATTGAATTGTGAATAACTTGTAAATCTAAGGGGTAATTTATATTAGTACTTCTATTTTAATAAAGTAGATTATTTTTGTTGTTTCTAAAATCTATTATAAATACCTTAAGGTTTTTGTTGAGAAAATTTTCTCAATCATAGCAGTAAAAAGTTTATTTCAACAAAAAATACTAAAAATCACAAATAATATCTTTTAATGGCTAAATTGATTGTAATTATAATTTACGTTATCATAGTTTTATTTTATATTTTTATTTTAAAATAGTAATTTTTGAGAATTTGTGGTACAAAAATATATAACAGAGGCACATGATGTAAGAACACCTCCAACAAAGAGTTTTAGTTTCGGGTCTCAAAATATGTATATTATATATATATATATATATATGAGTTTTTTAACTTTACAAAAATCCAATCTAAAATTTTTTTGCACAGAAATTTTTTATTGAGTTTTCGATAAAATTAAAAATTTCATAATTAAATACTAATATTAATATCTACATACATATATATGTATTTTTAAAACTCTGAAAGTAGAATTCCAAGTTGGGGTTGCTCTAAGGAGCACTTACAATGGCAGTTTTACAGCGGACATAATATAAGAATTCATTATTTAAATTTTAATTAAAAAAATTAAGCACCAGTTCTTAAATAAGATATTTAAGAATTGTTCTTAATTTTTGTAGTTAAAAGTTAAAAGATGAATTCTTATATTTCATTAAGAATCCCATCGTAAAATTCCTTTATTAGATATGGTCTTAGAACATAATTATTGGAGTTTCTTATGAGATTTCTTAAAGAGTTTTTATTGTATTAGGAATAGTATAAGAATCGGTTACAAAAACTATGAATTAAGAACTGATTCTTATGGTTTTTTTGCATTGTTCGCGAGACTTACTGACACATGACGATCTGCAATTGATTTGTGTTTAATTTTTTTCTTTTTTTTAGACAAACAAAAAAAGAAATTAAGAAACCCCATTCTTGAGATAATTTTTTTGCCTTTTGGTTTTCTATTCAGCACCCTGGCATCTTCGATATTTATAAAGATCATATAAACAAAAACTCCACACACAAAACAAATTAAAAAAAAAACTAAAAATGTTAAAAGCACCTCCATTGAGAGTTTTTACGACGAGGTTTTAAAGGACTCATCTCTTAATTTTTAACAAAAAAATTAAAAACCGATTTTTAAATGTTTTGTTTAAGAATCGGCTCTTAGTTTTTTAGCTAAAAGTTAGAATACAGTTTTTTATATTCCACTAAAAACTTTTAAGAATTCACAAATGGAGATGGTGTAAATATTTGAATCTAAAATTAAGATCAGATTTTAGTTTATTTGCTCTAAAGAAAGTTTCCGTCATTTAAAATTTAAAACTTTGTAAAATTTGACATTCACTGTTACTTCCAACAACTTGTCACTGACACACACACACAACTCTCTCTACTTCGTCTCTCTTCTCTTTCTCTTTCTCTTTCTCTTTCTGGTGTTTAAATACAAAACCCTAATCCCCATTTCTTCTATCTTCTCAGCCTTGAGAGAATTATCCTTTTTGTAGAACAATGTCAAGCTCTGATCCGAAACCCGGGCCTAAACCCGGTCCACTTCCTCCAACCCCAGAATCCCCCGCAATGCCACCGTCTACCTGGGCCAAACGTACCGGATTCCGTCCCAAATTCTCCGGCGAGACCACCGCCGCCTCCGTTTCCGGCCAACTCTCATTGCCTGCTTCCGTTAGAGCCACACAATCAGAATCCCAGCCGGATCTCGAAGCTGGCCAGCCTCGCCTCCGCCCTTCTCCTCCTGTCTCCGCCGTGGCTAACGGTGCGACGGATAAGAAAGAAAATCCGCCGCCGCCTCCACCACCACCGGAACGACAGCAACCTCCTCCTTCTGCTGCTGCTGCTGCTGCTGCTCCGGTTAAGAGACGGAGAGATTCTGAGGGGAGATCAAACGGACCTGATGGTGGGGCTAATGGGTCTGGTGAACCGGTTAGAAGACCGAACCGGATTGAAGAGACAGTGGAGGTTTTGCCACAGAGTATGGATGATGATTTGGTGGCTAGAAATTCGCATATGAAGTATGGTCTCAGAGATACTCCTGGACTTGGTCAGTGTGTCTCACATTTATTTATTTATCTGAAGGAATCATTTTTTTTGTTGATTATATCCTCATCGTGACCCTATCATTAGTATATACTATAGATTCCATGTGAGGACATGAGTCAGTACATCTTTAATTTAAAGTTTCTTTACTTTAACTGTTATTTTAAATTTTTGACATTGATTATGTTTTCATCTTTTGTGTCTTTGTGTTTCAGTTCCGATTGGGTTCTATGGTTTGCAGCATTACCTCTCCATGTTAGGCTCACTGATTCTTGTTCCACTTGTTATTGTTCCTGCCATGGGAGGTTCCCACGTAAGTGATTCTCTACTTTGATCAATGTTGTTTTGTTTGCATTTAGTTTAATTTTGTGTTTGGATTTGTAGGAGGACATTGCGAATGTTGTCTCGACTGTACTTTTTGTGTGTGGAATCACTACGTTGTTGCATACTTCGTTTGGATCCAGGCTTCCTTTGATTCAAGGCCCTTCTTTTGTTTTTCTTGCTCCCGCTTTGGCCATCATTAACTCACCTGAGTTTCAAGGTCTGAATGGAAATAATGTAAGTAAGAACAACAAAACCTGTTTTGATATATATGTCTAACGTAGGACTTCATTAGAAAGACTTATGTACTAGACTTGTGATGATGCTTCTGCGTTTATCTATAGCATTTATGTACTCGATGCATGTGAAATCAGTTCTATGGTTTGTTCTGGCTTGTTGTCATTCTTTTTGTGTGGAATCATGTAGCAAAGTTTTTGACTTCAAGTATTGTGTTTTGGTTGATACTGTAGAACTTCAAGCATATCATGAGAGAACTGCAAGGAGCAATCATAGTTGGTTCCGCTTTTCAAGCAATGCTTGGTTACAGTGGCTTGATGTCGCTAATTTTGAGGTATACGTCTCTGCCTTTGTCCCAAACTGACACCTTCCATAACTATAAATCAAGCATTATTTATTGTTTACGTGTTTCATGTTTTGTCTACACATGGTTCTTCTGGCTTTTTTTGTGTTTCTGTATTTTCTTATATTCATAATATCTTTTGACCCTTGTAAATAGGTTGATCAATCCAGTAGTTGTTGCTCCTACGATAGCTGCCGTTGGACTTTCTTTTTACAGCTATGGATTCCCGCTTGTTGGTAAATGTCTTGAGATCGGTGTAGTCCAGATACTACTTGTGGTTATCTTTGCTCTTGTAAGTTTATTAAAACTTACTGCTAACCGCTTTTGCAAATAAACCTTTTTTGGATGGTACTTTTATGTTAAAACGATTGATATCACATCAGGTTCATGTTAACACTGTTTGATACCGTTACGCTTTTTTTGCTGCAGTATCTCCGGAAAATCTCAATTTTAAGCCATAGGGTTTTCCTTATTTATGCGGTAAGTTCATATGGTAATCATCTCTGACATTTACCACTCTACTTTCCAATTCTGACCGACCTTAACTCCTTACTGATAGGTTCCATTGAGTCTTGCCATCACTTGGGCCGCTGCATACCTTTTAACCGAAACAGGAGCTTACACCTACAAAGGTTGTGACTCAAACGTTCCTGTCTCAAACGTTGTATCTAGCTACTGCAGAAAATACATGACCAGAATGAAGTACTGTCGGGTTGATACTTCTCAGGCACTGAGATCCGCCCCTTGGTTTAGGTTTCCTTACCCTTTGCAATGGGGTGTGCCGATATTCACCTGGAAAATGTCTGTTGTCATGTGTGTTGTCTCTATAATTGCTTCAGTAGATTCGGTTAGTGTTTCCCTATCAACCATTTTGAAATCCATGTATGTCACTTTTACTAAATTCAGTTCATGTTTCAGGTTGGTTCGTACCATGCTTCTTCTCTGTTAGTAGCGTCAATGCCTCCAACTCCTGGTGTTGTGAGTCGTGCAATAGGTCTTGAAGGCTTGACAAGTGTCTTAGCCGGTTTATGGGGTACAGGTACTGGTTCAACCACGTTAACCGAAAACGTTCACACAATCGCTGTGGCTAAAATGGGAAGCCGCAGAGTCGTTGAGTTAGGCGCATGTGTTTTAGTTATATTATCCCTTGTTGGTGAGTAAGTGGTCACTGCTTATTTAACTATATGATTGATCATCAAAGAGGTCCGAAGTAAGGTTTTCTTTTTTTGATATATGCTCAGGTAAAGTTGGAGGTTTTTTTGCATCAATACCTCAAGTGATGGTTGCTTCTCTTCTTTGCTTTATGTGGGCAATGTTTACGGCTTTAGGTCTCTCGAACTTACGTTATAGTGAAGCTGGAAGCTCGAGGAATATCATCATTGTCGGATTATCGTTGTTCTTTTCTCTCTCTGTCCCAGCTTACTTCCAGCAGTATGGCATTTCTCCAAATTCGAACCTCTCTGTTCCAAGTTATTACCAACCGTACATTGTTGCTTCTCATGGACCCTTCAAAAGCCAATATAAAGGGGTACATTACGCTTTGCCCTCAAAATTCTTTTTCTGGATCAAATTTAAAGAGAAATATTCTTGAGTTTGTGGAGTGTTTTTTGGGCAGGTGAACTATGTGATGAACACGCTCTTATCGATGAACATGGTGATTGCGTTTATCATTGCGGTGATTTTGGATAATACTGTTCCTGGGAGCAAGCAAGAACGTGGGGTGTATGTTTGGTCTGATAGTGAGACTGCAACAAGAGAACCAGCGTTAGCAAAAGACTATGAGCTGCCGTTTAGGGTTGGGAGGTTTTTCAGATGGGTCAAATGGGTTGGCATTTGAAAGAATAACATAATGGAAGAAGTGGGTGTAAATAGGTCAGATGGAGGATTCTCTTTCCTTTTGTTCTTTTTTTTTAGTCTCAGTTTTATTATATAACATGGTGGAGTTTTCTTGGGTCGGAAGTTTGTCTATTGGAGAGTTTTTGTGGTTTAAAACAGAGAACGGGGAGTGAATGTTGTAAGTTATATAGAGTATTATGATCAATCCTTTTGTAATATCTGATTGTTCTTTGGATTACAATACCTTGTGTTCACCGGTGTTTGAGTTAGGCCATATGTGACCAGTTTGCTGAAGACACAAGAGGGCAAGTGCGATTTTGATTCGCAACTTGTGTGTCCATCGCGATTGGTTCCAAGTGCTCATGAATCATGACGCACCAATTTGACAAAAACTTGCCAATATATTGACCAACACACACTGATTACACGAAGAACCTAGTGTTTATTCAGGAGTCTCTCCCAGATACATATTATAATCTCATGTCTATTTATAGTACTCTCAACTATACAATTCTGTTATTCTCTTCTTGACTCTTGACTCTTTATTTGCTTAAGAGCTCCACGTCCTTTCTTAATCTCTAGATCACTGTTCTTGTAAGCCACTGATCATATCATCATATCACCTACACGGAGATTCAAGGTCTATAACACTTGTGTGTTTTGAATGGTTGCAAAGTGGATGTTGCACCTAAGTAGGTTACAAATTATAGATGACTGGCGATTCTCTGCATTTTTGAACCGATAGTAGTAAGATTCCTGTCCAACATTTTGTGGACAATTGTAGCAAGGAGCAACATGCACGCCTTATATAGAGCATATTTACACACGGTTTTCTGTCACTGCATGTCAATATTTGCAACACTATTAACACAACATAGTGATCTGACACTAAAACACAATTTTACAAGCAGGCACAAAACTTACTTCATCATGCTAGTTCATAAACTGCAAGTTCATATGCTTCTAAATATAGCGTGTTGTTCTCTTTTACATTTATGCTTTAATATGTGTGTAGAAGATTATGTTATAATGGATATGAGATTGTAGCTCATGTATCGGTGTTTGACATGCTCAACATATTTTATTTCTTAAATAACCAAAACCCCAAGCTCCATTTTGCATTTCAACCCTTAATTAGCTCATTGGTACGACGAGGCTCCCATCATCTTTTTCTGTCGCGTCTAATATTCAGATTCCGAGGCAAAATAATCAAACAGGCTCTAATATTCTCGATATTAAACTAGCCAAAAGCTTAGTATCAGGTGACTGACTGAGACTCTAATTAGTAGAGAGTCTAGCGACATCTTACGATCCAACATCCAATTAGACTGGAACAACGACGGAAAATCCCATAGAACAGTAGGATCGTAACTATCAGAACCAAAAGATATCATCACAAGCAATACAAACCGCATCAAAGTTATATCATTAAACGATTACCATTTTTGGAACCTTATTCCTTCTTTCCATCTCATCATTCAAAATTATTAAAATTTAAAGGCTCAGATAAAATATGGGTTAGAGATGGTTATCAGCACGAAATCAGAGTGGTGCATGACATTCTCAATCATCACAGCCTTCCTTTCTAACTAAACTAAATCTCTAACAAAACAAATTTATTTAGTAATAAAAAGCCTCAGAATTGCAGAAGTAACATCAATAAATAATCAGTCCCGAAAGATGGTGTTCTTTTATAATCTGATGTCCTCATCGGCTTTAATTTAAAAAAAAAACTAACAAAAAAATAAAATATCGATCTCATGGCCGGCCCAAACGGTAAAAGCAGCGACGCCGCTCCGCAGAGCAATGGAATATGAGAGCCCGTTTACCTCAGACGGAGAAGCCGTACGGCTCCTACAACGTCCTCGGTTTACAGTTTTGATTTATGACGTCTACTCGTGGATTATGCAATCACATCTTTAAGATTGCTCCATTAAGTATAAGATTTCTTGGAGAGAAATCGCGTCAATGACAAAAGATCAGAATCAGAGTAAAAATCAAAGACACTTAAAAGAAGCTAACAGAGAAAACAAACTACCGACGGCGTATGAAAGAAGGTCTTGTGATGAGAAGACAGCAGGTTCGTGATGTGTATTATATACAAATGGATACTAGGGCTTTCGACAACCATATTATTACGGGCCTTATTCAGTTAAAACGCTATGATAAATATGCACAATAGCCTGACCCAAACGTTTCTTTTTCTTATAATTTTTTTTTGGTTTTAGGGCAACTTAATTAACCATTTCAATCTCGAGTTTTGGTGTTCTAGCTTTATTTTCTTATCTCCAATTATTACATCAACTTCCACTCCAAAAACAAATTATACTAGGTAGAGATCTGTGCTTTGCACGGGATGAAAGTATCGTGCATGAAAATATTAAAAATACTTCACTTTACTTTGTAATTTTCGTTCACAGTATGTATATCTTACTTGATCAAAAAAAAAAAAAAAAAAAAAGTATGTATATCTTACAGTTATAGAAAACATGTATCATATATAATATTCAAACTATATGCGTATAGTATGACAAAAGAAACATGTAGCATATAGTACATATCATAGAGAATGTTGGAAACAAAAACTTGGATTATGCATTATATTTATGTAGCAACTTTTTGGATCTGTGTTTCTTATGATACCGGACATGGCATTTTATAAATATATGTTTCTTATAACTTACTTGAAAATATGTAAACAAATAATATAAAACACTATAACACATAAACTCTAAAATCAAACTGCTAGTTTTTTTGGATTAGGAAAACGAAAATGTTTCTTCAACCCTTGTTCTATGGCTTCAACATACGGTGATTGAAATCCTGATTTAAAAAAAAAAAATAAGAGACTTATCACAGCCATAAGTCTCGTAGAGAGGAAGAGTCCTTTTTGTTTGGAGAGAGTATGTGGGTATTATGACTCCTCTTATATATGTAGGCGTCAAATAATTATTTACAATTTACCAAAAATTGCAACATCAGTTGATAAAAAAATATATAAACACAAATGTACGGAATCACTTTTGTTATATGAATCATGTATAAAAATAGATCTCTATTGCAACAATAATGCGATCATCACTGAAATAAGGAAAAACAAAACTTCATTATACAAACCAAGTTTTGATATTACATGTGTTAGCCAAACTACACAAAAAATGAAACCTTACACTTGATTCCGAAGTTTTAAGGATATCTTTTGAGTGTCCTTTCCACACAGAAACAATGTTCAAATGACTAACCTCAACGATCTGACGTATCACGTTTACAACAAAAATAACAGCAACAGATTCGTAAATGTTAGGCATCAACAATGTCACAATAAACTAATGTCAGGAGATAATGGCCCTGGAATAATACACTTCGGTTAAACAAAGCAAGAAACACATATCAGTGCAGTCGCAGGGTGTTTGAATTTGGAAAACACATATTGAAAATATTATGCGGTAGCCATCGCTTTTTGGGTGATCTTAGTTTTTAGATTGGTTTATGGTATTTGGGGTCCTTACTGGCCGAGAACAGAATATATATATATAGTTCTCGTAATCTTTGATGCTCAAGGTTTGCATTACTGCCAAGCAGTAGATACGGACGTTAATTATTATATTACGGAGTTAATTTCGGACTAAATGATTCATAATTAGCAATAACAATATAGGAAACATTCACTTATGGCTGTTATTGTAATAACAATATAGGAAACATTCACTTATGCAATAAGATTGCTTCATTAAGTTTATTTTTTTAATTTGCATCAAAAATCCACGAGCTTAGGAACCAAGTTTTGTCTTTAATATTGAAATTTTGAATGATTTTAATATAGAGCAAATTAAATACATGATTGAAGTTGCCGTTGACCTTCAACTACTCAATTGTTTTCATTAATACATCATTTCTTTTTGTGAAACTCCCATAGATCATGTATCTATCTGTCATACATATAAGTTCATGGAATTTATTAAAAATTTAAAAACAATAAAAAATCTGGTCAAATTGGTTTTACTGTAAACCATGCAATACAACTCTCAGCAGTATACTAACGATCTTATTAATGTTATTGATCAAAACAAATCACATCAATAATTAAGTTTTTAACTACAAAAATCTAAATAGCTGAAACAGATGATGATCCAGTCAAGCTTGCTGTTAATCTATAATCCATGAAATTACCCAAAGTTTCACCATTGTAATGCATCAGTTAATTAAATCTTGAAAACCAAATATAAATGGCTGAAACAGTCTGCCATGAAATTGTTATCATATATACAGTGGTGGAGCTCTGACACATTAAATCTTGAAAACCAAATATAATGGCTGTAACAGTCAGGAATTTGTTTTGCAAAACGTTCAGTGAAGCTTTCTTACATGTTCTCTATTATTTAACAGCATTATCATGCAAAATGGCTTTAAGCATAACAATCAATCAAAATTGTCATTTTATAGGTACAAATGTAATATGGGATGGAGGGAAGCACCGTTGTGTTGGTATGGTAAAATAATGTGAAAACCGATTTGGTATGCTCTAATAAATTGTCGGTTATTAAAAGTAAACATAAATACTCGTTATATTAAAGTAATCAAGTCGGACGAAATTATTAACACCAGTGGCATTAGTTGTAAATTTTCTAGTAATGAAAGGGTATTTAAATAGCTTAGCTGAGAATGAATGTGAGTTTGACACCTAAGCAAAATGGCAGTAATGTAAATAAAGTACAAAATAAAGGTTTTTCTTTTCCAATGTTTCTCAATTAATAAATAAGGGATATTGTTTTTTTTTCGTCAATAGTTATAACTAGGTGTTTTGGCCGCACTTGCGGGCCTAAACATTTTATAATTATTTTATTACATTTTTTACTAATCGAAAAATTATAATGATAAAGTATTATTTATGTTTTATTTTTTGAAATCAATAATATTTATATTTTCATTTAAACATTCTTACATGTATTTCTTTGTACATTATGTTCCCTACTAAAAATAAATCATCTTAAAATAAAAATAACTTTTTTTCTTTTCAATTATATAAAATTAAGATGTTTACTTGATTAGTATTTAATTATGTATATCTATTTTTCGGAAAATATATCTTCAGATAACAACACAATATATATAGGAATTATCTTATTTAAATACATATTATTTAGATTTTGGATAGTTTTTATGATTATTATTAATTTTAATTATTTAAATAATCAAAATAATTTAAATCCGTTTTTATTAATACATCTTTTACTAATTGAAAGATTATAGTGATAAAGTA